AACACCAGGCTGCGTCCCTCCCCCTGGGGCTCCTGGAAAGTCAGCAAGAGGCTGAGGGAGTCGGCAGATTAGACAAGATTTGCTGCTTACAATCAAAGCCCTAATGAGTTGATTTCATAAGAGAAGAAGAGAGAATATTTCGATCACAGTGTGTTTTATTAGAAGGGTGCAGATGAGGCCTGCCTAAAATTGATAAAACACACACATCTACCCGTAACCTAGATGCTTTTAGATTTATTAAGGAGAGTCTTGGTAAGGCAAGTTAGCAGTAGTAGCAGTACCACCAGCATCAGCAGCATCAGCATCATGACTGTCACCATCTTTATCATCACCATCATCACCATCACAGTCATCACCACATCACCATCACCACCATCACCATCATCATCACCACCATCACCAACACCACCATCATCATCACCATCATCATCACCAAGACCATCACCACCACATCACCATCATCACCACCATCACCACCATCATCACCACCATCACCACCATCATCATCACCAACACCACCATCATCATCACCACCATCATCACCATGACCATCACCACCACATCACCATCATCACCACCATCACCACCATCACCACCACCATCACCACCATCATCATCACCAACACCACCATCATCATCACCACCATCACCACCATGACCATCACCACCACATCACCATCACCACCACCATCACCATCACCACCATCATCACCACCACACCACCATCATCACCACCATCACCACCATCAGCATCACCATCACCATCATCATCACCACCATCATTACCACCATTATAGCCACTATTTACCGAGCATCTACCGTGTGCCGTGCATTCCATATGTCTGTTTTCTCTTGTAGGCCTCTTAGCAACCCTGAGAGTTATAATTACCCCCACCTTACAGATGAGGGATTTCAGAGGCCAAGAGAGACAGTGGGTTGCCCAAGACAACACAGCAAGGTAATGCTTTAGATCACCTGGAACCCAGACTCCATGTCTCTTCACACTGCAACCCCACTTCACTGAGGCTGCTTCCTAGCTCCTTTCCCTGAATCCTGTCCTGACTCGAAGGCACTGTGTCCCCACCCCTGGGACAGTCTATTTTTCCACACTATTCCCCAGAGTGCCCTGAATGCGTGCCCTGTATGAGACCCCTTTCTGCTTAAAGCTGCTGAGTGGTTTCTCTTGTCTGCACCGAGCCTGGCCTGATGCAGCCGCGAGCATCGCATGTGTGTAGAAGGAGGAGCCGGGGACAGGGAAGAGCTCAGTGCATTGGTAACACGGGCAGGGGGGACAGGGCGTTGGGTTAAGTCCGATGTGTGGGGCGAGCTAGACTAAAGGTGGGGAGCTTCCTTCCTCCCGGACGGTTCATCACAGGCCCGGAGGATGTGCGTACGGAGCGCGCCTCTCTGCGCTGCGGTCTGGATTGGCTTTTCTTACGACATCAGTGAGACACCCCAACGGTTAGGGGAGGGCTGAGAGAGGAGATTAAAGACCACACTAGCATCCCAGGGAGGGGTGCGAGCGATTCACGAGGCTGGATCCTAGAACCCTCGCTGACTTCCCAACTGGACATGGTGTCTAGGGGCTGCAGGGCCACCAAGCCCAGAGCCTGTGACCCTCCACAATGGCCTCTGGGAGGTAACGCAAGGCAGGGAGTCCAAAACAGGTGGTGCCACCTAAGGGGTTTCTACCCATGCCACAGGGGAGGGACATATGGCTGGAGCCGGAGCAGCAGCTGCCGGTGATGAGCCCAGACCCCAGAGAGGGGACAGCTCTCACCACCTACAGAGGCTCCCTGGCACGCTGAGAGGAAGCTCCAGGCTGGGGCCTGGAGCTGGGAGTGTGCCCATAACTTAGGTCTGGAGAGGGCGTAGACACAGCCTTCTGTGCCCAGGCTTGGCAAACTATGGCCCTCCGCTTGTTTTGTAAATAAAGTTTTATTGGCACCCAGCCACACTCATTCATACGTATTGTCTGTGGCTGAGTTCATCCTGCAATGGCAGAGCTGAGTGGCTGTGACCAAGTCCAAATGGCCTGCAGAGCCGAAAATATTTACTAACTGGCCCCTTACAGGAAAGTGTGCTGACTTCTCTTCTAGCCTAAGGCACATGGGGGAGGGGCTTTCCCAGGAGCCCTGGCCAGACCTGGGTCCTCCCAGACCCATCAGCTGAGAGGTGGGGACAAATGTAGAGCATGCAGAGCGACACCAGTCACCCCAGCCCCATGGATAACTCAGAATACAGACTACCAAAATGTTTTCACCTTTTCTTATAAAAAAGCCACCAACACTTTCAAAGACTGTCTTGTCCACAATTATTTCTAGTGACAGAAAACATGTTTTTCCTGGGTTTTTTTCCATGATAAAATATGCTTGAAATCTACTGGGGAAAATTAAGGAACGTTTTTGTCCTCTAAGGCAGCAATTAAGAAGCACATGTTGGCACAGATGTTTTACCAGCTGAAGCCAAGCTTCACGACGTGTATTTTCCTAATGCAGCCGAGCAAGGAGTCTCGATGCTCAGAGTGGTTCCCACATCCCAGTGCCTGGGAGCACGTAGGGCCCCAGATGCAGGCCAATCCCATCGATGTGCTTTCATTAAGGAGGAAGCCAGCAGCTCTGTCAAATACTCCTCGAAGCCCAGCTGAAATGCTAATCCAAGTCCATCAGGCTGAGCTGCTCCCCTGCCAGGCACAGGGGAAACCCTGAAAGATGGTGGTTTACGCCCTTGAGAGGCGGGTCCAAGGGGGAGGGGAAGGCAGCAGGGAAAACAGGTAAAGCATAATAATGGCCTTGTCCTGGGCAGTGCAGCCTAGCTGTCTTGCAAAGGGCTGCAGAGCAAAAACTACAACTAACTGTATCAGGGGCTCATCAACGGAAGGCTTGACTGAGGGTGGGATATCTGAGTTGGGTCTTGAAGGATGCAGAAGAATTTTCCAGATCAAAGAATCCAGAAGAATTTAATAGCTAGAAGCAAAGTGGCACTTCAGAGTGGCTGGAGTGGCCTGGGCTGGGGAGTGGCAATGGAGTGGGCAGGGAAGAGACTTTGCATGTAGGCAAAGGCTGGAGATTTCACCCAAAAAGACGGAATCATTGCTTCAGATGGGGAAGATAATGCTCATGGCAGAGAGAGGACTAGCAGAGTGCACACAGCTTGTGGGCCAGCAGATACCCTAATCCATGAGCTCCCCTCTGTTCCTCCAGGTAGTAGAGCCCCGGCACCCCCATATTGCTCATCTGCTCAGTATGGCACACACACCCCACCACCCTCCAGACCTGAGAGTCCCTGAAATCAGAGCAGGAGAGGAATAAAGGAAAGAAGGGGCGGGGAAGACCTTCAACAGTGACGCCAGGAGTTACCTGGACCTCCAGCACCAGGAAGGGACACCACCCCGCCCTTGCAGCAGCGCCTGCAACCCCCATCCCTGCCAGCCCCGCTCTCTCCCCTTCTCCACAGGCCTCCCCGCCACCTTCAGCCCTCACCACTGCCCCCTCTCGGTGGGACCAGCAGCCGTCCCGTTTGACACCCCCATACACAGCACGGGGCACACACTGTGCAGGGGTGCTGCCCCCTGCCACGTAGGGGTCACACCCCACGTCCCCCAGTGCTTCCCAAACACGTCTTTACATACTTTTCATGATCTGTCTTACACAGAAGAGCGTGTGCTTTATTTGATTGTTCACACCGAGGGTCCACCTGTGGGTGTGTCTCTGGAACACGTGAAAGCAGGTCTCAAAGAGCTATTTGCACACCACGTTCACAGCAGCATATTCACAGCAGCCAAAAGGTGGAGGCAACCTGTCCATGGATGGATGAATGGATACACAAAATGTGGGCCATCCATACCACAGAATATTATTTAGCCTTAAAAAGGAAGGAAATCCTGACACCTGCTACAACGTGGATGACCCTTGAGGACATTATGCCGAGTGAAATAAGCCAGTCACAAAAGGACAAATACTGTGCGATTCCACTCATGTGTGGTCCCGGAGGAGTCAAATTCAGAGACAGACAGTAGGATGGTGGGTGCCAGGGGCTGGGGGAGGGGGATGGGAGTTAGTGTTTAATGTGGACAGAACTTCAGTTTGGGAAGATGAAGAAGTTCTGGGGACGGATAGTGGTGATGGTTGCACAAAAGTGTGAATGTACCTAATGCCACTGAACTGTGTCCTTAAAAATGGTTAAGACGGTAAATTTTTTTATGTATATACTTTACCACAATTAAAAGAAAAAGCCCAGCGGAGGCAGGTTTGCACATGCAGTGGTGGTGAAGGCTTGCCGTTGCTATGTGGTGGTCCCATCCAAGTCTGGCGAGTACCATGACTATCTTGGGGGCTCGATCGGCCACACTCTTCACCATCTCATGGCTCCAATCTGCCCCTCCACACCCCGGCAGAGACCCACTGTGGGGAGGCCTGAGACACCATACCTGAGCAGAGTCTGCACCCCCAGCTATGGAGAGGATCCCCAGCTCCTTATTTATTTTCTGCAAAGTGGTCAGCGTGTTGGAGGGCCCTTGGAGTTTCTTCCCTGTGACTTGGTTCCCTCTCTTCTACAATAGGGATGACGTTCACACCAAAGAAGCAAATGAGGATCACGCCCTGCTGTGGACTGAACGTTCCCCGGATTCATACACTGAAGTCCCAACCCCCAAAATGATGGTATTCAGAGGTGGGGTCTTTAGGAGGTAATTAAGGTCAAACAAGGTCATGAGGGTGGGGCCCTGATCTGACAGGGTTAGCGTCCCTATAGGAGAGACACCAGGAGAGGAGACAGCGAGAAGGCGGTCGTCTGTAAGCCAGGACGAGAGCCTTTGGCAGGAACCAGATGGGCCAGTACCTTTGTCTTGGTCCAGCCTCCACGACCTCGAGAGATAAGTGTCTGCTGTTCAAGCCGCCCATCTGTGGGACTTTGGGGCACCCGAGCTAGGACACCCACTCTGCAGAGCACTCAGCTCAGCCCCCAGCCCCACGTGGCTGTGGTGGGCACTCAGCACTGACCTGGTTGTAGAGGGCGCAGATGTGCAGGGCGGTGTTCCCCGAGGCGTTCTGGGCTCCCATGTCCGCCCCGTAGAAGAGCAGGTGTTCTAGGTGCTGCACGTGTCCGTACCTGCAGGCCTGAAAGAGAGTCCGCGCGTGAACCAGGCACCACACGCGACGCACCGAGCTCCCGTCGCTCAGCCACCTCCCAGGCCCGATGGTGCGGCAGACCACGCCCACCCGCGTCCCGGACCGGGGCCCAAAACGCATCTGCACCCGCCGTGCCCCCAGCCTCCGGGGGCTGCTAGACCCCTGTGGGGAGCGGGGAGAAGGAGCTCGTGATGGGCTTGAGGGACTTGACGGGGGTCTGCGAAGGGGCCCTACAGCTCCTTCCATTCGGACCTGGGACCTAGAGGCCCAGAGAGACACGGTTGTCTTTCCCCCTGGCCTCGGTGAACAGTCCCAGGAAATGAAACCAGGACGCTCCACCCCTGGCTTTGTTTATCCAAGCTCCCCCGACCCCCAAGAGGAGGCGTGAGAATGGCCAGGAGGGCGCAGACACCCCCATGTGTCTGGGGAAGGGAGCCCACACCTGTCCTCCTCCAGGCAAGAGGCAGCCCTGCTACTGTGTTAAGATATAACCCATCCCCTGAGGAGGGGGCAGGAGGCAGCCCACAGTGATTCACCCCTTTCCGAGCCCTTCTAGGGGGTGATGTGTGCAATATATGAACCAACAGGGCTCTGGGGTCAAACTGATCTGGACTCAAGTCACAGACCTATTTGTCAGAACTTTCACCTTGAGCCTATGTCTTCACGTGTAAACAGAAACCATACTCCTTGCAGGGTTCTTATGAGAATCACGTGTGATAAGGACCCAAAGGGCCTTGAGCGATGCTCAGCGCCAGGCCAGCCCCTCCCCGCCCCACCCACAGGGAGCAAGGAGCCCACGCTGGGACCTGGGTGCTGCTGTCCAGCTCAGGCAGAGAGGCTAGTGCACAACGCTCCATGCCAGGGCAGCCCTTGACCCTCGGCAGCAGGTCAGATCCGACTAACCCCCCACCCCATCCACCAGCATGTCCTGGCTCCTTGGGAAAGGCCAGCGTGTGGCCAGCGATGGGCAGCAAGGAAGACCTGAGAACCACTGTTCTCCCCATGACGGGGCGGTAACCTGGATGGGGAGACACAAAAGGCTGGGAAATGGGGGTCCTAACACTCCTCACCCCGAGGGTGGGGACAAAACAGTCACGACAGGGCTGGCAGCTGCCGGGTGTCAGGCCGGGCCACACAGTAGCCAGCGGAAGGGGCTCTCGTTAATCACGCGTCTCTGATCATTGAGACAGATTGAGGGGACTTCACCTCTGCAGAGTGTACGAGAAAGCACCACATCTCGCCAATTAACAGTGAGGAGAGATGACAGCAGAGATACTGAAACTATTAATTGGATGAGCTTAAAAAAAAACCTGAGAAATGTCCACTTACAATCACTGTGCTTACCATAGAATAATCTCATTAATTTATGGAGCACATCCTTCGGTAGATATTGTTGCGTTTACCCGCCCAGCCCCACTTTCCCATCTTGGAGCAACAGTGCCTGCATTTTCTTTTGGGGACCACCCCAACCCCACTCTCAGAGGTCTAGGGGGGCCCACCCCACCCCACTCCTGCAGGGGACACAGGACATGGGCCTGAGCAGTCAGCATATTCCATCTCCTGGCCACAGGCATGGGCTGGGGCTGCCCGTGTAACCCGAGAGGCCAGGGAGGACCCGAGGCTGGAACGTCTGTCAGAAGGACTGGGAAAGCGAAGTTGTAACTTTCTTCCAGGACGGCCAGCAGAAAAATTACTGTCCCCCAGAGCTGCTGGGGTCCACCAATGCAGAAGAAGGGGCGCATGGGAGCGAAGTAAGAGGAGAGCAGAGAGAGGGACACGGAGGTAAAGACACACACACACATAGACACAGACACACACACACACACACTCACAGCCAAGATGATGCTGTGTGAGCCCCTCGAAGCTACAACTATGCATGGATTTTTCAGGACATAAAGATGAGGCATAATTTTTATTTTCCCCTTAAACCAGTTGGAGTTGGGATTTTTGTTCCTTAAATTGATGGAGCCCTGGCTCACCAGCTCTCCCCGCAGGACTGCTGGGAGGCAAGACTGGGTTACAGCTTAGTTTAACTGCTCTCTTGTCAGTCGAGAAGCGAACGGCATGACCATAAAAACACCGCACAGCCCGCCCAGACTCCTCATTCCCTTCCCCCAGCTAGTGTGAATTGACGAGACTTTCCATGACCTCAGTGGGATGGTGACACCTCCTCCTCACCAAGGGTCACAATGTGACCAGTGCCAAGAGACAAAACAGAGCCATTAATGCTGAGCAGACACACGGCTTCCTTCCCACTCTATTCTTCCTTCTCCACGCCGATTGTTTAAAACAAACAAAGCCAGACAATCCATCAAAGCTCTAAAACAAGAACAAAATTTCCCAGAATCCCACAATCTTAAATGCTACCATTCGCTTCTTCAAAAGATCACCTTTGCTCTCGGCTCTTCTTCTAACCCCCTGGTTGTTACATGACAGAGGTTGCGCCTGCTGAAGAAGAGGGGAGGGTGCGTAGAATCCGAGGGAGATGGTGGCTGGATGGGTCAGCCGACTGGCTGCATTCAGACGGCTGAGCAACAAGCAAATAAACGAAAGAAAATGGGAGCCAGCTTCTCACTGGCGAACAAGGGAGTTACTAAAGTGGTGCGGGAGAAAACTAGAATAAACTGGGCGGGGTTGCATTGGAATGGGAGGAATTCCTGTGAACATACGGTTTTCAGTACAGACAGAAGTGAAAGTGGAAATGTGTATGCGCGTGTGTATACGTGCACATACGACCCTATCTCTCCCTCCTGAGGGCCCGGTAGCAGTGAGCACACCTGACACCCGGATCAGGGGTTCTAAATACCATTCTGTACTCAAAAGAACCAGGGCTCCCTGCAGAAACGGCTGATTCCAGGGCTGAGGCAGGAAAAGAACAAGATGAGCTGGGAACACCTTGTTGAGCCACAAGGAAAGAAGTGCTCAAAAGATGATGGGGACGCGTCCAAAGGACAAAGGAGCCATCCCCAAGGGGCTCCCATCGGCCAAAAGGGGGACATCAGTAACAGATCATTACCTGTTGAATAAATAGAAATCCACGCAGCCACAGTGTGATACATGAATGAATGAATGAATAAACAAGAAGAGAGTGCTCTTCCGGACACCAGAAAGCCGACTAATAAGTGTAGAAGCAAGGATGGGAGTGGAAAATCCCCATTTAGCAACCGTGATAGAAACAATGAATTCAGGCAAGAAACACCATGGGTGCTGAAGCTGGCAGGCGAATGGGGAGGACGAGCGGGGTTTTACATCATCTCAAAGATCCCACAAAATACTTACTAATTACAAAGGGGAAAAGAGAAATGACGGTGGGGAAATCTGGCAGACCCCCCCTGATCAGGGGGTCAGAGTGGGTGAACATCACCGGTAACTGGCCAACGGTCACCGGGGCCACCTGAGGACGCAGTGGCGGGAACACAGCCTGGCTCTCATCATGAGGAAACAATGAAGAAACCCAAACTGAGAGACAGCCCCCAAGATGACTGCCCCGTAAGCTTCAAAGGTCCCATGAGAATCAAAGGAAGATTGATGAACTCTCCCAGATCCGAGGGTCCAATCCGGGGTCCCAGGCCGGATCCTTTTACTATAAGGGACCTTACTGGGACACTTGGCAAAGCTCAAACACGGTCTCCGAGTGAAGCGGACGTGGAGCTCTTTGAACTGGTCTTGTAACTCTTCCGTAGGTTCGAAACTGAAACAGTCGTTTACAATTTAAAAAGAGAAATTAGTACTTGCTTGACGCAACGCTCAAAGCTTACCAAAGGAAGAAATTTGTCCTCCCCCAAGATAAGCCAGGCTGACCCTTTCTCCTTTTTTTTTGAGCGTCGTGGTTTCTGGCCATTGGGAGACAGCTTAAAAGGGTTGACAGAGGTCAGAGAGTAACTGGAATGTAAGACAGAACAGCGCCCCTTAAACTCATGGATCTTAACCATTTTTCTAAGACGCTTTTTGGAAAATGCACGTGTGCGGGGCTCCACCCCACATCTACGCCTGCGAATCTCCCGGGCACGTGCATTTGGAGAAGGCTCCTCACAAGATCTGGGGTTCACCCCAGCTATGCTGAGCGTCCGCCCCACCACTGGCCAACCACAGAAATTGGGTGTGAATTAGGGAAAAGAGTGCTCTCTCCTTCAAGTACTTTACTGCCACCTGCTGGACACCTGCTGTGATAAATCTACAAGCCTAAATGCACAGCAAGCGGCACAGCGCCCCCGAGGGCTGTGAAATGCAATTGGAACAATGATGAGTTCATCGCAGACGAGCAGCAAATGCTTCTGCTTGGTTCCGTGCCATGGACAAAATTATTTCAGTCCACGCCACACGTGGGCGCTTCTCCTACAGCATGTGCTCATGACGTGAGCTGGAGATCTCACAGCCCAACAGTTTAAAAACGATATGCACATCATTTCAGCTCTAACTTGGTCAGGAAGTGAGCTGCCCGTCAATACAGAGATAATCTCTTGCCCAAACACGTGCAAACACGCCTTGCTCGACCTGAGCCAACAGCTGCCCGGTGGCCCTGCGTTCTGTGGTTTTCAAAGGCCAGTCGTGGTCTTGCTGCCGCCCAATGGGGAGATGGGGAGCCACGTGAATGAGTGTGTGGACTGCGGCGCCAACCAGAAAGTGGCTAGTTCTGTTTGGATCAGTGTGATGGCCTCAGTTGTGTCCCCTAAACTCCTATGTTGAAATCCTAACCGCCAGAATGTGGCTGTATTTGGAGAAAGTGCCTTTAAAGGGGTGAATAAGGCGAAATGAGGTCACTAGGGTGGGCCTTAATTTCATATGACTGGGGTCCTTATAAGAAGAGGAGATCAGGATACAGACACACACAGAGGGATGACAATGTGAGGACACAGGGAGAAGATGGCCGTCTACACAACAAGGAGAGAGGCCTCAGGAGGAACCAGCCCTGCCCACACCTGGATCTCAGACGTCCAGCATCCAGGACGGTGAGAAAATAAGCGTCTGTGGTTTAAGCCCCCTGGTCT